TTTTTTTTTTTTTTTTTTTTTTTTTTTTTTTTTTTCAAGCTTTCTGAGATAGAATAACATGCCAGATGTGAGAGCGTTCTCTGCGTTGGTATTTTGAAATTCCTGCTGCATTTTCGATTTTTCATATCACATTTGATTGTTGGGCAATTAGGTAATGGGCTATATCAGAAAATGCATCCAAGCCGATTTTATCGATAATTGTCTTCAAGAATTCTGTTCACATTTCGATTGTTTACTGAGCCAACTGCGCCAATCGGGCTCTTTTAGTTGAAGAGGTTTTTGATATTGTCACATAAGTTAGGCTGGTTGAATTCAGAGTGGTTCAACCGCAACAATGACAGGGGCATCAAAAGAACATAACTTGGCAAGATGTACAATAACTGTAATTGCTTATTGTTGAGGACTTTTATGTTTTGCAGCGGATTTGAAGATTAAAACTTTCTTATATGAGTGACACGGCTCACTCTTCAAAAAAAAAAAGAGTAAATTTTTAATTAATATTCCTTCATTTTATTGTTTTATGCTGCGTAGTGTTTCGTGCTACAATTTTTGGTGTCTGGAATATTGATATTTTGAAGTTTTGCAGGCTATTACGAAGTTCTGTTGAAGTTGTCGCCGACGTTTTTCATTAGTTGTTTTACGGTCTTATTGTCACAAATTGAGAACCAAATTATTTCAGAGCTTTAGGCTTAAAACATTTTCTTGCACTAATACTGTAATTACGCGACGATTTATAAAGATTACCATTTTCAGTGTATCCAGTGACTATTTACGGGGTGTTGTTGAAGATGTTATCTAGATGAGGTAGATAAATACAGTTATGGCACCAGTCTTTTTTCGCTTATTTATTTATTTATTTATTTATTTTTTTTTTTTTTTTTGTGTTCCATCCAGTTCTTTACTTTTTATCGATTAATTTATTCAAGCAAATATATTTTTGGCTGGATGCTAATTGCGTTTGTTCTTTTTTTTTCTTGTTTTATTAGTTTTTTAAAAAACATTTCGAATTTCACACAAGCTCTCAGAACATAGGGAACTGATGAAATGATTAGAGAGTTATCGTTGGTTTTGCGAGAAAAGCTTTTGTTCGTGTTGCCATTGCTGTTGTTACTGCGGCCGCTATTGTTGTTGTCGTCCCAGTCGTTGCAGATGTTTGGAATAGTTTACTCAAAAAAAAAAAAAATTTTTTTTCGATATTTTTGCTCATATCTTATAAAACTATTTTGATCTTCATTTTACTTTACGTAAAGCGTTCAGCTAATTGTTCTGTTGGGAGGTTATTTTTGATTTTTTGGGAAGTGACTAATTAAGGTCTTGAACTAGTATCGAGAAACCAAATAAGTCAAAGGCTGTAGCTGAAAAATCCGACTATTGAACTCTCACAATTCTTATTTTCGGCGCTGTAGAGGATTGAACTCACCCTTGGCTATTGTCGTCCGCTGCTGATGATCCTTGTTTTTGATCGTTTTGGGCGCTCATTTGCATCTTCTTAGGGCACTGAAACTATCAGCATTAAACCTGGCCTAATTTAGATAAAAATTTCGCTTCGTTTCTTTCCAGTTTTTTATTCGAAGTTGAATTTGGGGTTAAGCTGATGCACCTGAAAATAATTATTTAGAATCATGGCGCGCTGACAAATATATTGGTGCTGCTTGAGTTTGATGCACAATATTCCTCGTGGTGTGTACTTCCGTTGGTGTACTAAAACTTTTTCCCTGTTATCAAACGGGACGTCTGTTGTACGGATAGTGGGAGGTTTCTTTAATTCATATCTGCTTTTTTTTCCTCCAAAATGTCGCTAAGCAGTTGTCGATTGAAATTGGGAAGAAGTTCATAGGACTCTTGTATAATATTATAGCCAGTGGATTTGGAGGTTGAAACTAATTTTTTGTAATATTGATAGCTCGTGTCATTTCTGTTGCTGCATTTGAACAATTTATTTGCAATGTACTGATGCTTTTTTCTTTATTGAGTGTTCGGTTTTCGATGGGGTTTTTTCTTTCTTGACCGGTATTTATGACTGGATTGAGATGCTCTAATGATGGGCTGTTTTAAACTTTATATTTTTAAAGAAAGAATTTACTTGTTGGTGTTCGTCGGTTAAGTTTAAATGAGGAAGAACTGAATAAGCACGATTAACGCTAACGTTGCTTGTGACTCTCTATCGGATAAATCACCCATTTTTTCTTTCTAGCTAATTGTTATTATGAAAATTTTATTTGTTTTTCTTACAGTTAAGTTATTTTTATTTGAGTTTTGCTCCAATCATGTCTGAAATGATGGAAGTCACCGAGCAACCAGCGACTACGGAGGAGCCTGAACAGAAACCTTCAGCAGAAGAAACTTCAAAACCTGCTGAAGAAGCAAAGGTGTTGTTTGTGTACCGATATCATCTGTTTTCGCATTTCAGTCTTCCCTTATCCATTCATTCGCTTCTTTCTTTTTGTCGTTCAGGTAACACCTTTCACTGCAATATATATTTTTTTTAGCCTGAAGAAACAACAACTCCACCTGCTGCTGTAACTGCAACTGCTGGAGCACCTCCTGCTGCTGCAACTGCTGATGAAGCGAAAGCGGCTGAACCTACACCGCAAGCCGTACCTCCAGAAACGACGGAGACTGCTGCAGAGACGGAGAAAAAAGAGGTAAATGAGTATGGTCTTTCACAGGTGGTTTTAGGCGTTGTTTTGTAAAGGTGGTGCCAACTGGTTTATTAAAGAACTTATATACTTATCTCTTTACAAATTTTTGTGGCGAGTTTGTATTGTCTATCTAGAAGTGTTCATTTTTTTTGTTCTATATCGTTTTTTGAGAAGTAGTCTTATGAACAGGACAACTGCGTTGCAAATTTGGGTGTTGCTTGAGCAATGATTTTCTTGGACTCTCTTAAATAAGAATTTTTTTCTGCTTTCTACTATCACAGAGTGCGTTAATCGTCTTGATTTGTTTAGAACACTGAGCCTGAAACACCAGCTGCGACAGCAAATGCAAATTCTACGGTTCCGACGCGCCAGTATCTTGATCAGACTGTAGTACCAATCCTCTTGCAAGCTCTTGGTGCGCTAGCGAAGGAACGGCCTCCCAATCCGATAGAATACCTGGCTAATTATTTGTTGAAAGAAAAGGATCGTTTTACAACAAATCAGAGTGAAACAACTGTGCAGCACTAAGTATCTCATTCTTTCCTCGTGATTTGCAACTTGTTATATATCTTGATTCCCATCAAGCCGGTGTTTTATTTTGTTCCTGTTTTTTAGAATTTATTTCATATCGACAAGAGTTCAACTTACTCAACCTGAAATTTTATTTGACTACATAGCACATCCACGGAATTCTTCATATACTTTGTTTTCTTTGGGCATTGTGCTTTTTTTGTTGCTTAATTTGTTCAATAAAGTTTTTTGGAAGTTGTTTACCACTTTGTTTTCTTTGAAGTAACTTTGCATGTGACTTGAGGAGAGTGGATAACGTGGTGAAAAAAGTCAGTTGTGAGCAGGCTCTGAATTGGAGTGTTGAAGTAATGGTTATTAAATGATGAAGTGGGGGAGGGGGCATTTCTGGTCGTTTCTGTGCTGTTTCTTGTAGGGTTAGGGAAGGGTGGTTGTTGTAACTGGTGATTGAGCGGATGGATGGCAAGTTGGTAGTGGTGGAATCCGTCATGCTGAATAAAAGGTAAATCTAAGCATGACTGTTTATTTGCTTGCCTCATTCACAAAATGAGGCTGTCGTAGAGTTATGGTTCGGCATTTTGCAGTGATTGAGAGCTTGAGGAGATAATGCCTTTCGACGTTACCTTAAAGGGCTTTAATCTATTGAAGGATTAAGTAACAGAGAGATTAATACTTTGGTTATAAAAGGACAATTTGGGTTTCTTGACGTGGTTCAAAAGGTATAAAGAATGAGAAGTCAAAAGGCCAGCAGTTCTGAGTTTTCATATATTAAGTTTTTATCGGGGTGTAGAAGACAAAGACTGCTATTGAAAACTAGATAGGACAGTTAAACTGGTCCGAAAAAAAATCATTTCAGCTTGCTGTAGACTTATTGTAAAGGTACAGTTTTCTCCTGTAATGGGATTAGGTTTCACGATCAACCGCTGTAACAGTCTCGGGAGAAACTCTCAGTTTTAAACAGAATTCAGTTTTGAGCTGCTTTTAACTTGGCTTTTCTTATCGAAACATGACACCTCTCTTTGTGAACTAATCATCCTGGTCTTCCGAAAGCAGTTAAAAAGTTTGCTCATAAAATGATTTATCACTTTTAAAGAATTTAAACCACAATTTTTGAACAGCACAGCTTTGATCCCGTCTTGCAACATGGAACTCCTAGTATATCTTCTTTTTGCATAACAGAAAATGGGCTGGGATTTTTAAGTGTTTCAGCCTTATTTTTCATGGAAGCATTCAGTTATTAGATTACAACGAAGAACGCAGACTGCTGTCGTTCGAGCTCATATTTGTGGTTACTGACGTTCCGGCAGTATAAATTTATACCGCTTGAAGACTGTTGTTTTTAAGTTGTACGGTGTCAAGTTTCTTTCTGAAACTACGATGGTAAGAAAACCTAAATTCTGATCTGCAATTTGGCTGCACGCTATGAAACACAAAGCGTTTCCTTAGCCTTCTTTCAAGTTTAGCACTTAAATATTAGGGTCATCTAGTTTGTAGTTGCGCCTTTGAGCGCACAAGTTGGTTTTAACCAGTTGTTTACTTGAAGAGAATAAATATCGTTTTGGTGAATCATTCAAAGAGCTGAATAAACACGGAAAGCATTTTTTGCAGATTCGGAAATCTTAGTAAGCTATTTGGCAGGCTGTTTCATGAATCAATATTCAAAATCAATTTTGGGCTGTCGTGACTTGCGTCGTTTTATCAAAACATAACTGAAGCAAGTTTAGCGTCAGTAAAGATTTGTATTCGTTGTCAGTCTTGCATTCCATTTGCTTCGTTAGGCTCAAAGACCTTTCAACAAGCTATAATTCTGATGCACAATCTTTTAAAGACATATAACAGTGCTAAAATTTGAATCTTCTTAGCTGCATTTGGTTAATTTTTTTCATTTAACGCGATGATGCATAGTCAAACTGTCTGCAGGTGCATTGTACAGTGTTCCACTTATCACTGACTTGCCTCACTATTCTTGAGAAAACTCCAACAAATTTCGTCATTCTTTTGTATCACTGTTACCAGCGGTGTTTAAAAATGGAAAATTTCAAACCGCAAATCAATTCCTTTCCTCCGTAGGGTCCACCGGATGGGTGCTCTAGAGTCACCTTGAGCTATAACAGGTCTCAGATGGTTGAACTTTTCACAGGTGCTCGTGTTTTTTTCTGACTGTATCACCTATAAGCTTATCTACTTTGCATCTTGAGATTAGAGACGTTGAGAAATCTAATTCATAGCGCGTAGGATAGATACGAATACTGTGCAGCGCTACGTCGCTGGAGAATCCGCAATTTACTACGATTTGTTACCAGAAATCTGTGTGCGGTGGTTTTATGAACTATTTTGAGTCTGTCACAAACAATATAACTAATGCTTATAAGAACAGGTAATTTTTCCAAACATAAGATCTCTTGCATAAAGTTTACTTCAGCTAGAATTGTTCACCAATTATTAATCAAAAATTATGCAGAAAAACCTTGAAATAGATTCGCAAAATATGTATACGCGACTGTTTACAAATTAATTAGTCCTGACACCGGATGGTACTCATTAAAAATTATCAATTTTAATTTCTCTGCAGTTCAGAATTCCCTTTTCTTTTTTAATTCTCCTATCTTTGTTTTAGAAAGCAGCAGTTAACGAATTATATTTGGAGAGGTGTGTTATGAATAAGTATAGTGACATTAACAGCTAGAGATTCCTTGCCATTGGAACTTGACTAACAGTAAGCAGAAAGTAGATCCCATCCAGTATTGATTCTGATCACTTACCTCATTACTTCTTCATCCTGCCACTCCTTCAAGCCTCTTTTTAATCCTTCTTCAGCATTTTCTGAAGACATCTAAAAAGAAATGGCACTTTTTAACGACACAACTCCTCCAATCAATAAGGGTTGTTGCTTAGAAAAAAGATTTTTGCTTAACGATTTCCCCAGAGGTCGTCAGCAATCAAAATTTTCAAAGATTTTTTTGCTCCGTTACAGAATTTTTTATCTAGAAATTATGGAAAAGTCCTTTCGGGAAAGGTGTAACCTCTCTAACACAAACGTCATTCCAAAGGACTTCTCCTCTTGCAGTCTCAAGGAATATCACCCTGCTCTTATCGACACCTGCGCAGTTCTGCATTCGGGCACTGCGAGAAAAAAACTGGGTGTTTCAATTGCTCCAAAAAGGTGAGAGGACTGCTTTACTCTTCAAAAACGAGTTATTTATTAGTACCCTAAGTTAAATTTATTTACCAAAATTCTAGGAACGAACAGCAAAATATTTAGAGCCAGCGAATCTTCGAAAAGAAAAATCAAGGGAAAAGTTTGAAAAATTCAAAATTGATATAATTCACGACTTGAAGTTTTCTTGATAATACTTCACCTTCACAGCAGCGCAATAGTCTCGAAAACTGCCACTGGCCTTGCTTACTCTTACTCCACCCGAGAATAGTAAAGTTTTACCTCGCCCCCCTCCTCTCCCCCTTCTTGAATACACGCTCTTTTTATTGCCAAACCATCAGGAATAAAAAGTAAAACGGATGTGCTTTAGGTAAAGCAGCTTGAATCGTTTCCTACTCTTAGTTTACCAGAACATGTGAAAACAATTTGAGCTGCTTATGTCAAAAATAGAATGCCCAAACTACTCAGATGTTTCGTTTTCTGCTGAATTTCCGCGGATTTTCCGTGCAAATAGATTAGAGTTTTGCAAAGTCAGGCTAAACCAATACAATTTTGTGAACAGTTATTCCTGTTGCAGAAGGAAAAATGAATCAGGAAAATAGCAAAAAAATGACTTGACTGCAGCCATGCTCGGCATCTTTTTCTTTTTTCTAGATCAGAACTATTTTAAGGAACAAATAACAGCCGGCTTCTCAGTGTACCAAAACGGCTATTATAAAGTTTTGAAACTGACTACTATTGAAAATACGCTTGACATCAACAAGTTCACAGTTTTGGTGTTACTTGAGAAACTGTTAAGTGCTGGCAAAGACTAGATGACTTGAGGTTTTAATATGCGGAAATTGTTGAGTGCAGCGGGGATAGCAAATTATAGGACGGAAATGGTTAATTTACCACGGATATTGATGTCTGTCCTGGTAAAAAAAATCTTTTTCGCTCCATTCTTTGTGGCTAATGAATAAATTTTGCTCAAGTTGATATTAAGTTAAATGAGTTTGAGGTTAAGTACTGAGATCCTGGATCAAGCAGTCCTAGCACTCCATTCTTAACGTCCTTACATATAT